GATTAGTATGTTGGGCTTCTTACAGGAGAGAAATCGTGTGAAATTTAAGCTTGTGTGTTTAATCATTTCCCTTTGTAGTCTCAAGATACATCCATTTTCTTACAAAGGATTCTAGTTTATCCTTCTATGTGGCAGAGTGGTGCTCCGATATATATATTTCAGTTTCTAAAAAGCTTCCCACATTTGTGCTTTGCCCCCTTGCAGCTGGTCTGTGGGGAACTGGAGCACCTGCAGCCGGACGTGCGGTGGGGGCACTCAGAGCCGGCGCGTGCAGTGCACCCGCCGGGCACGCTATGACTCAGAGCCAGTGGCAGCCAGCCTGTGTCCACAGCCTCCGCCCTCCAGCCAGCAAACCTGCAACCCTCAGCGCTGCCCACCCGCATGGAGCACTGGACCCTGGACAGAGGTAAGCAGGCGGCGCTGGGCAGGGCAGGGCCTGGCCCCGCGGGATGAAGGGCCTGAGCGCTCCCTCTTGTGTTCAGTGCTCCAGGACCTGTGGCAAGGGCTGGAGGGAGAGGACCTTGGCCTGCAAGGGCACTGACCCCTCGGCCCGCGCCCAGCTGCTGCCCGAAGCCATGTGCGAGGCGGAGCCCAAGCCCAGGACGCACGAAGCCTGCCTGCTCCAGCGCTGCCACAAACACAAGAAGCTGCAGTGGCTGGTGTCTGCCTGGTCCCAGGTGGGTCACCTCGGGGGCAGTCTCAGTGCCCTGCTTCTGGCTTCTCCCCCTCTATCTTCTGGCAGCATCTAAGTGCTCATCCCTCATCCTCACCCTTGGTTCATGCCTCCAAGCTCTGAGTTGCAATCAACCTGCTGCTTCTCCCTGGAGACTCCCACACTGTCCCCCACAGTGTCACGGAGAATGAGAGTGTGGGAAGTGTGTGTGAGGGTGGGGTCGCCTCCTTGCAGTGGCAGTGGGGTCCTGGGACGCCCCTCCCTCTAGGACAGTGAGAAGCACTTTTAGGCAGTGGGCATCAGGCGTAGAACAGGAAGAGCTGCCCTTTGCCCAGCCCAAGAACAGTTACATGGGCAGCCCAGGCATCTGCAGAAGCCTGCTGTGCTGCCCACCGCGTGGACCCTGCCCAGGGCTCCCAGCCCAGCCACAGTGGACCTCGGTAGCAGCTTGAGTTTGGAGAAGTGAGGGGTTCCTGGCTAGGTGTGGCACAAGACAGCCTGGAAGGACCCCACACTCCACAGCCCACAGCGGCACACAGCACCTGGCCAGGTGTGGCTCATGTGCGTGGACATCCGGGCTTCCCCACTGCCAGGTGGGACCTCTGCGTGTCACAGCAGTCTTGCAAAAAGGTCCCAGCTGTCCTTGTCCCATGCCTCTCAGGCAGGACACAATGTCATTAGGCCCTACGCTTCCCCACGCCCTAAACAGTGCCATGTTAGGTGCAGCTTGCCACTCAGGGCAGTTCACCCAGCTGAGAGACTGTTTGCCATTCAGAAATAAAAAGACTGGTGCTTACTGAGCTCAGCCTGCCTTTGCGGAAGAAGAGTTCCACATAGCACTGTGGTTAGGGAAGGCCTACCTGCCACGCAGATCCCTGGAGCTGAGTTTGTAAAAAGTACACAGCTGGTTTGAGGCAGAAGGTTGCAGTCTCAAGGGAGCCAGGAACAAAGAACAGGGCCTAAGGAGACTGGCCCCTTGGAATTCTGGCAAGCTGGAGACCAGATAGCAGATTCCTGGAGCTGGCGCCCTGTCTGTTCTTTGTTCCTTTATCCGCGAAGTTACCAACCAACTAATGTTATGTAAATTTAGTTTGGTGAATGCTGAAGGGGATGTAAATAACAGCTTGTTTACACCAAATTAGGTATGCACATTGCTTAGGCTGTTCGTAAAGCTCAATAAATGTGAGAAGCTTCCCTGGCTTAAGAGTCACTTAGAGGCAGACTAAACTCAGCAAGACTTCTGAGGCTATATTAATCCAGGCTTCCCATCATTTCCTTTGGCTGATAACACAACACACAAACACCCCACACACATACTCACACACCGGGGCTTCGCTCTGAGGCTTGGCCGGGCCAGCAGCCTCCTGTCCAGCAGTGGGTCTCCGCCTTGACAGGCAGCACGCCCAGGAGGTCCGATGGGAAGGTGAGGTAAGAGGGGGCAGGTGCTGCTGTCTGGGCCCTCCTCCTAGGTGGCCTGCAGAACATCAGCCAGGGATCTTGGCTCCTGAGCACCTGCCCCTGTCCTGCAGTATGGCCCTCGCCCTGGACCTCCCCAGCAGGGCCCAGCTCTCCTGTGCCTCCCCTGCTGGATGGGCAGCGGCAGCCCCTGCAGCCTCCCCGCTCACACAGGCCCAGCGCTGGGGCTGCTGAGGCTGGCACACAGCTGGAAAGCTCACCTGTGTGTGCTTCCTTCTTCAGGGCAGTGCTCAGACTTCCTGGAAAGATCTGTGAGGAGCCAAGGGCTGCCTCTGCCCATCCCTGCCTTCTGGGCCACATCAGCCTATAGTTGTGTGGACCAATCCATTCAGTGATGTTCTGTTCAGTATTCTTGTGTAGGAGATGGCTTGTGTTCTCAGATGAGGGACAGCCAGGTTTAACACTCCAGTAGCTGTAGAATTACTACCTTCATGGCTCCTGATTGCCCTGCCCCTCTTCAGCCCATGATGCTGTGTGGCTCTGACTCTTGCCTCCTTGCTTTTTTTTTGTGGAACGAAGGATTGAACTCAGGCCCTTGCGCTTGCCAGGCAAGCGCTTATTCTACTGAGCCATCTCCCTGGCCCCCTACTGAGCCATCTCCCCGGCCCCTCTTGCCTCCTTTCAGTGATGATACTAGGCAGCCTTCGAGGGCCTGCCTTTACCTAAGCGTCCAAGCCGCTGTCACCAAGAGACAAGCTGAGCCCTGGTTGTGCAGAAATGACATCCTCAGGCTGGTGATATAGCTCAGTGGTCTAAGGGCCTGCCTGGCAAGCACAAGGACCTGGATTTGATCCCTGGTACTGCTTGCTGTGCCAGCCCTAGAACTCAGGGTGTGCTGTTCTGGCCACCAGAACTGGGAATGGTGGTACATGCCTATAATCCCAGCATTGGGGAGACTGAGACGGGAGGATCAGTACAAGTCTGAGCTGAGTACCAAGACTGGGTACCAGCAGTGCTGGTAAATATGTAAATAAAAGACTTTTATTAAAATATGTAAATAAATATTAAATAAAAGACTTTTAAAGCGAGAGAGAAGTAAGAGCCTACTTAGGCAAGTGCAGGGACTGGGGCTCGAGTCCCTGGATCACATGCTGCACCGCACCCCTTCTCCACCTCCCAGCACACTGAGCAGGCAAGAGTCCACACATGGTGCCGCTCGCCTGTCGTCCCAGTGCTGGGAAGGCTGAAAGCAGGAGGATCACTATGAGTCCAAGCTGCGTAGTGAGACCCTGTACCAAATACATAAAAAAAAAAAGAAAAGAAAAAGAGAAAGAGAAAAAGAAATGACCTCCTTCCCCCTCTTACTTGCAGTGCTCCACCACATGTGGAAGTGGAGTCCAAAAAAGGTTCCTAAAATGTGCCGAGAAGTACGTTTCCGGGAAGTACCGTGAGCTGGCCTCCAGGAAGTGCGCGCGCTTGCTGCAGCCCGACCTGGAGCTGCAGCGCACCTGCACCCCGTTTCCATGCCCGCTGCTGCGTCCCTCACATGCTGCCACAAGCCTTCCAGGGAGCAGCTGGTTTGCCTCTCCCTGGTCTCAGGTAAGAGCCCCGTTTCCTCCAGGGCTGGCAAGGCTGGCTTGCACAGGCTTCTGCAGGTACACTTCCTCCAGTGTACGTACCGGGTGTGACTTGGCTTTCTGAGGTTAGGCTCCACACCTGAGTCTCGTAGTGCATTCCTGAGTCATGAAATCTTTATCCCACTAAGTGTCAGAAGTGCAATATTTTCTGTAATATCTAGGCCAAGTTCCTCAGAGATGGCTATGGATGGGAAGAAACGGAGGCCAGGGACACCATGGAGAACATCAGTGTGTAGGTTAGCTGTGAGGCTGTGAAAGTGGAAAGGGTAGTATCACCCCCAAACTGCTGCATTCTGCCTGAGCCCATGGAGCCCCTGAGCCTCTTCCTGGGCCCTGCCCATCCCTGCCCTCGTCCGTGCATCCTTTGCCCTCACCCCAGGGGATTCTGCAGTGGACATCCACCCACCTCCATCTCCTCCTGCGGTTTCCTCTGGGGTTTCCGCAGCCTCAGCCCGCAAGCCCATTCTGTGCCTGTATCCTCTCTCATGGGCTGCTGTCCTGCAGTCAGGTCAGCAGGACTCACATGGAGCCTGGGGCCGGCCCTTGACCCCTGCCCACGCCCTTCTCTGGGTCTAGTCTGTTGATGAGAGAGGAGACCTCTCTAGAACACACCTCCACTTCTGCCTGGGGCCCAGGCCCCATGTGACTTCGCCCTTTACTAGAATCAAAGAGAGCAGAAGGAAACAAAAGAGGGAGAGGAGAGGACAAAAGAAGAGAGGGGAGGGGAGGGGAAGGCAGGGAGGGGAGGAGAGAGACCAGCCGTTGTGCCCTCTGGAGCAGGATTCATGTACTTCTCCCCAGAGGGGTCTGTCAGGGCCCGTCTGTGTGCCACATGGTGAGCATAGGAATAGCAGGTCAGAAGAGCCCGACAGAAGCTCCTGCACTGGAGGGCTGCTCCAGGCAGACACAGGCCCTTAGCAGCTCTTGGAGGGAGCAGACCGCATCAGAGCCCCTGCACAGGAGGAAACCAAGGCGCGGGTGCACCCCCCAGCCAGCAAAGGGCAGAAGCAAGCCCTCCACAGGGCGCACATGCACCATGTGTTCTCCGAGAGTAATCCCTATGGCCACGGCCTCCCTCCTGCAGGCCCCTGCCCTTGCCCCTGTCCCCAAGCTCCTGTTCATGTAGGTGAGATCAGCACAACCAAAACCTAGCTCCAGTCTCTGACAATACCCAGACACTGTCCAGGGCTTTGACTTTGCCTTCTACAAGTGCCCTGGGCCTGATTTTTGTAGCCTTCTTGGGTACCATTTGCTCCAACTCTGTGAATCTTGGGTTTATCAATCAGTACATTTGGCATCAGGCCACCAAGTCACCCCACAGGGGCTTTTCTGTATCCCAAGGTCCACAGAGATCCTTGATTCCAGATTCTGGAAGGACCCTATGTCCTTGTCTCAGTTACTCTTCTTTTATTGCTAGGACAAATACCCGACACTCAAAATGAAGGAAGGAAAGATTTATTTAGCTCACAGTTAGTGGAGGCTTAGGTTCGTACTCAGCTGGCTCTAAGGAAGAGCTGCACATGGCAGAGGGCAGCAGTTCATGGCAGCAGGAACAAGGACCTTCAACTGCTAGAAGAATTAACCTGTCTGCTAGCCAGTTCAGCCAGGCGCTGGCCTTCCATCCCCACCTCAGCTTCCCACAGTCTGCAGACATGTGCGGGGATAACTCAAGTACCCACTGTACCCGGCTTCCTGGCAGAGCATACAACTCCAACAGATGGTGCCAAGGCAGCCCAAGGCCAGGACACACTTTGCCCATGAGAGGCAAATTCTCTGAGGACTGTGTGGAGCTGCTTTGACACACTCATGGGATTTTCCTGACATGTGCCCATTCAGTAAGCACCCCCTCAAAATGAGTTAGAGGCTGTGGTCACCGTCATATAGTACATGTAAGCCTGAACATGTGTGTGCATGCAAACGTGTGCAGATATACATACAGGGGAGGTCTGAAAATACAGTACGAGTTTAAGTCTATTATCACAGTAGAGGACACATTGCTGGGGACCACCCTCAAAATCTTGCCCCTTGCTCGAAACAAACTAAGCCCATGGCTCTTGCCACTTTCTGCAGCAGCTCTGGAGTCCTCTTTCCTGAGTGTCTTTAGTCCCACTGTCTTGGCTGCCTCGGTGTCCTCAATTTTTCAAAGCATTTACTTTTCATGGTCATTTTGATGTTGGGGAACAGTCAGAAGTCACACAGGGCCAGAATTAGGGAATAAGGTAGACGAGCACGCAGTGAGGTGTTGCTCCAAGCCCTGAGGCTCCTTAGTGGACCGTGACCACTTTGGGTCAGAGCAGCCTTGACCTGTGGTAGCACCGCTGGGCCTCGGGCCTCACTGGTATGTTTCTGGCCTGAGAAGTGGCTTCAGACAGGGGCCCTTTCGCTCTTTCTCCACCTCCTGTTTGGCGAGAGTCTAGGTAGGGGAGAGGTGGCTAGTGCTGAGAGGTTAGAGCTACATGCGGGCTCCAGGAGAGGGTCATGGGGGAAGGAAAGGGCAGATGCAGGGGCACATGCTCAGCCAGGCAGGGGCCTCCTGGGTGGCAGCAGACAGGAAGTGGAGTGAGTAGGCCATTGCTAGGGCAGCAGCCACCCAGCAGACCCTTTGGGAAAGATTCTCAGAGACTGACAGTGAAGGTCTATTATGGTGTCTCGTTGTTCCCCCAAAGACTCAGGCAGTCATAGGTGGACTTCTAGTTCATGATTAACTCAGGATCCACTGCGGTTATGGGTGTGAGTGTGCTGAGATTATGGGTGTGAGCACCACACCCAGCCTGGGCAGAGAGCCTGAATGCAATTTAAGGGGGACAGACTTGCTCTCTGCAGCCACTGGCTTTGGCAGTGTCACCTGTTGGACGATAGGTCCCCCTCTCCAATGACAGGGATGTGTTTCCCTCCTGGGGCTTCTCATCAGCACAGTGCAAAGTTAGGCTGCAAAACCTTGGGCCAAGAGGGGCAAGAAGCCACGTTGCAGACAACTCATTGGCTTTTCACTGTGGCAGCGAAGCCCCCAGGTCTATACTGAATGCACACAGTTACTCCCACACACACGTACGCAGGGGCACACAGACCCCTGCCCTACACCCTTCCACGTGACTGCCCATGCTGATCATTGCGCTCATCGTCTTTTGCCATCACTGGTGGATAAAGCCACTACTCACCCTTCTTGATGTGAGGGGAGCTTGTGTTTGTAAGCAATTGAAGAGGCACAAACATTGATAGGCCCCATTCATCACTCTCCTCAGAGCTGATGTTGGCCAACACCATGGAGGTCTGTGCAGTCCCCATGCAGACATCTGACCTCTGGGACAGTGGGCGGGTTACAGTGGGTGCATGCACCAAGGCACAGGAAGATGATAAATTAAAGGGGAAACTTAATGGGGTCTCATGATAGAGGGCTTCCGGTGGGAAGTGACAGTGGGGAGGCCTTGTCCTCAGGAACTAGTCAGTGTACACTGTCTTCATTGTCCACTGTGTCCCAATGAACTCCGCCCTGCATGAAGCCCGTAGGTCTCCAGGACTCCAGGCACCATGGAGAGGCTGACAGCCACTGCATTCCGACAATGTTTCGCCACAAACCAAAGAAGTGAGGAATCGCCCTAATTAAATTGAAGAAAAAATCCTCCAAGCCAATGTCATTTTTACATGTATCTCTTTGGCTTTACTGATGGCCAGAAGTGATCACCTTTAGTGTTTGTAGGGCCACTCTGAAAACATGGAAGTTGACAACTGTTACTCCTCAAGGGGAAGAACATTCCCACCAATGGTTTACCACCTCACTTTGCTGCTGTTCCCCACGGGCTCCATCCTGGGAGGAAAGGCTGATGTTGGACCCCTGCTGGCACTACAGAGCTGCTGTGACCAAGAGGAGGAGGAAGACATCGGGTGCTCTGGAAGCCAGGACAAGATCAGAGTGGGGAGCAGTCCATCTAGACCAGGGACAAGAGTGTCCACCAAGGCCACCTTTGCAGACCCACTTCAGTCCTTACAAGTGTTCAGATCCAGGCTACATTGACCCTGGGCACCATTTCTGCTGGAATTACAGACAGCTGACATCTATTCCATAAACTAAAACAGAAAAGGAAAGTGTCAATGGGTGTTAGGCCTTGTGGTTCTGAAAACCCAGTGAGGTAATTCTCCTTGTCACCTTGCACTCAGCGTGCAGGATCGCAAGCTCCAGCCACACCTGTGCACCTTGGGCACATGGCCCAGGGTCCCAGGGGATCCTATGGGTGACACAGGCAAATGTGAGACCCCAGGCTCTGGAGACGGAGCCAGAATCAAGGAGTCTGCAGAGCCCTACAGCAGGCAGGCGGGGCTGGGGTAGTCCAGTGCAGGGCAGAGGGAGAGGCAGGGGCAGCCCAGAGGCCAGTCTATCCACTAGGAAGCTCAAGCCCCATCCCAGGAAGCTGCAAGAAGCCAGAAGCTTGGATGTCCAGACCCAAGCTCCAGACTCCTTCCAGGGAGCGCCGCTTTCTCCAGCCTGCTCTGTCCTATGAGCTGCCTGCCACTCTTGCTCAAATGCAGCTTCCTGCCCCCTTCCTGCCCTCCTGGCCTCCTGGGGCCCCAGTCAGGTCTGCCTGGCTGTCTAGGGCCCCACATGCTTCGTAGCATCAGCCAGTTTGGCAACTGTTCATCCCACAGAAGGTCTGGAATGTGGGAGCCCTAAACACCACGCGGAGCCTTGCACCATCACGCCTGCACCCCCGGGGAGTGGCCAGCATTGCCTCCCCCTTCCAGAAAACAGTGAATAACTTGTTTAGGTTTCACTTTTCCTTCAATCGCTTTGTCTACCACTATTTTTTATCAGTTCAGAAGAGTTTCAAAGTTTGGGGCTGAATATCTTTATTTTATTTTATTTTTTTTATATATCTTTGAAGAACGCAAATCTTGAGAAAATTGGAGGTTGTTTTACCCACAGTTTTGTTTTGTTTTTTTGTGGAACATTTTCAAACTCTCTAGAGCAACACTTTCTAGCCCCTTCCCCCTGTGTCTGAGTCATGGGGCCCAGTGCAGACTCTGAGGCCACAGTGATATGGGAAGGGGGGAAGGCAGGGACCACACTCGGAGCAGTGGGTCGTGTGAGCACCCTGGGTGAGGACCGAGTCATTCACGTTTATCACTGAGTACCTAGTGCTTAGACAGAAAGTACTGTACCATGACACCTCAGTTCATGAACACCGCTGTTCCCATGCTGTTTGATTCACAAACAGAAGCATTTGGCAAAATTTCGCTTCTGTTCACAAACTCTACCTTGGGTGATGAACAGGACCATGGCCGCCTTCTCCAGAATCACACAACAAATTCAGTTTATGAACGGAGGCACGACTGTACCCAATCCAGGAAGGATGAGTGGTTACTGTTGACCAAGTAAGGGAATCAAGGACAAGAAAATATCAAGCCATATGTTAATTATTTGGGGACAAATAAAAAACTGTGCTGATAGTTTATGACTTCTAAAGGTGCCAAATAATCTTAGCAGGATTAGAAGTCTCCCGTAGCTGCTGATTGTTAGAGAAATTGGCCTGGGGGCTGAGAGATTTTATGAGTGCTGATGCCAGTGAGCTGAAGAGTGGCTGTCTCAGTGCTGTCACCCATGTCCCCAAAGCACCCAGTGCATCTGTGGGCCCAGATACGGAGGGCAAGGGCCAAGGGCAGGACTGTGGTTCTGTGGCCCTCAGAGGGATGTGTTGCTGTACAGTGGGAAACATCGGCTCTGCCACATGGGACCCTGATAATTCAGAAATCAGACAGCGTTCTGCCCACCACATTGTTTTTCCTGGTTACTGTAGTTCACTGTTGAAACTGGGTTATTGATGGTTTGGAAGTGACAGGTCAGCTGCTCAGAAAGGCCCCCAACAGACAGAGGTATGTGGCCTGGGAACCCTTTATAGGAACAGGAAAAGGGGCAAGAAGATAGCAGTTCCTTTGGCTTGGGATTCCCAGACTGTGTTCCCAACTCCTCTCCTCTCCAGGGAGGTAGGAGGGAGTCTCCCTCACTCATCACCTGTCCCTGTTCCGTGGGACTTGAAATCTCTGAAAGCTCCAGTGGCAGCAGGTTCTGGGCTAGGCCAAGCTCATCTCTGCACTGTGTGCTGGGCCTCCTTCCGGCAGTGTGGGCTGTGGAGAGCTGGCTGCAGCCTCCCTCTGGGACTGGCCACATGGGACTTGACATGCTCTACGGTCACTTTGGGCAGCCAGCATGTCTCCACAGCCTTGCAGGGCATCATCCCTGCAGGAGAGGGAACTGTTCAGCTCCCACCCATGCCAGGACACCCACGCTACGTCTGACCCTTCTTCCTGCAGGTGTCCCCTGAATTTGCTTACCCTCTTAGCCTGTAGTCTCCTTGGAGCACAATTTACATAATTTAGTCTAGACTTGGGCAGGTCTGTTTCGGGTGGATTCGCTGCCTTGGCTCAGATTCCTCTGCCTCTCCAGCTGCTTATCCCCCAATTCCTTCTTAAGTTGATCCCAGATGGGTCTAGCTCATGTTTTTAGCTGTGTGTACCCAGCCAGGTGGTGAAAGGTGACCTCTCCTCCCCCAGGCTCACTTCATCTCCTGGGCTGAGATTTGCAGGCTGAGGCTGCAGGAACTGGCTGTGGGCTGGGGTCTAGAAGGGGCTTGGCTTCCTCAGCCTCGGTGGAGGCTGACTGTCCCAGGATGGCCCAAAGGGTGGTGTAGGGTGCGGAGGGTGTGACCAGCCACCAGGGTCCTGTGCTGAGGTTCCTTTGCTCAACGCTGTCCAAAGGAAGCTGTTTGCTTAAAAAGGAAAAGGGATTCACTCAAGTTGGCTCTCAGGTGATGGAGGGGCCATCTGCCTCCAATCTCCTTCTTGCGCAGCAAGGAACAGTTGGGGGAGAGATACAGCGAGACAGCTGATGAATTCAGGCTTGTTGCCCAAGGGAGTGAACTTGGGCTTGACCTGCTGGCGCCAATGTCTGCAGGCTTTGTCCGTTCATCTATGCTGAGGAGAGGTGGTGTCACCATTTAAGACCTAGACCTGAGGAAGCTGGGAGCAGTCACTTGTGTCTGAAAGGAAAAAATTGACTCTTCAAGCTCTGTTTTACAGTGCTAGTTTTAAGAACATTGCCTGAAGAAACCATTTGCTCTTGTGAGGTTCAGAAGGTGACCCTGGAATCTCTATACACCTGCTTTCTGTGCCCACCAAAACCCACTTATCGCCCATGGCAGATTCCCCAAGAATGCTCTGAACTTTGTGGGATACCATCCCCTGGTCCACAGCCCCTGCTACTCCAGAGTGTGCTCAGCAATCAGAGACAGAGAGTGACACCTTGGGGTGTCTGGGCAGGAGGGGACCCCTGCAGAGATCCCGAGAAGAGATAGGGCTACCACAGGCAGCAGAGGCCAGGGCTGGCCCAAGCCATAGTTTGAGGGGAACCTAGTGCAGGTTAGAAAGAAAGTACCTCAATAGGGCCCGGGGAGATGGCTCAGTGGAATAAGTGCTTCCCTGGCAAGTGCAAGGACCTGAGTCCAATCCCCAGTTCCACAAAAAAAAAAATTGTACCTTAGCCCTGGTCCTGGATCTAACATCAGTGATACTATGCTCTTAAAGACCTCTAATAGAGACTCAGGACATATGAGAACTTGTACTGTAACGTCATGTACCTCGGTAGTGTCCCAAATTTTCTGATCAAGAAGATTATGGGGCCAAAGAGGA